TCATTTTAATCAGAAATGTGCGGGCTACAATCATGCCTCATTAAGAACGGTTCGGGTTATTTTTTGGGGTTTCTGAAAAACTCGTTTTCTAGAAAACCAGGTCTTAGAAGGGCTATGAGGAAGCCGCATGGTCGTATTCGTAATCAACATGGTCGATAACCTATAACCCACTAGATTCCGAGGAAAAAGCGTTTAATCACTTCGTGGGGTTCCCTCGTAAGCCTTAAAAGTTGATCCTGATCTACCATATGCTGGAATTTATAATCATTTCTGACCATTGGTAGAAAAAGTTAATTCGATCGTATTTAGAGGTGTACGCCAATATGACTTTCGCCAAACTGTGAAAATCTAGTGTACTTTCACCAATTTAATCTATGGCTTTTTGTCAATAATTCAGTTACATTGCCTATCAATGCAAGTTGTATTATTTTTTGAACGAGAATCGATTTGAATATTACATAGACAAGTTGACATGTCTGTTTATTGTTGTGGTCATGCATTGCTTTTCTCTTTTATATATTTCTATTTTTCTTTTCATTGTGACGTGGCTGTTTCTCTTCGCATCTCGGAGTACATATAAATATCAGATATTATTGATATTTCTATTACGAATTATTAAGTTATGAGCAGTGTGGGTGCGAAGACATAATTTTATAAATAAAAATGTCCAGTACATTTCTTTCTAAATTTCAACACATTACATCTTAGACACGTTATGGCATCAATTCCTCGTGCGCACCAATGCTTCGTAAAAAAGGACGAAAAAAGAAAAACTAAGATGATTGCTTAAGAAAAGAAGTGACTTGCATTAAACGACAAAATGATCAATGCACCTTCGCCCATACCATCAGTGTACTTTCGCCAATTGACGAAAGTAATATTGGCGTACCTCTATGATTCACGTATTTATTCATTTTTCTCTGCGTATTCAATGTTCTTAATAGAATCTTATGTATGAAAACACGCACAATTTAACGGGCTTTAAAATGATTTATAACACAACTTTTCAAACTATTGTCAAATATTATCAATGACTATTTGCTTCCCATATATGTAATCTTCATTGAATATAACAAAATGCGTGTAGTTTTGTCAGCGCACTCAGACTCGGAACGCTTTATACACAGAAGAGTGCAGAATTGAACGGGCTACACAATGAACTATAACACATTATTTTAAAAGTTCGCCTTTCTAGATGTATTGGACAAATACTTGACAGATATTACGATTTTTTTCCAATAGTGGCGCATTAAAATGATTATAGTTTCTTCTGCAGACAAATATCAGGCACAGTTTGTATATAGAAAGATGCAGAAGAAAGGGCTACCGAGTGAGCTATAACATTTTCTTTCAAATTGTAAGTTTTTTAAACTTATGAGTAAAAAAACGAAAGATATTTTCCGATTAATTTCGGTGACTATTGGTCAAACATGACTACTTGCTTCCCATATATGCAAACCTTATTGAATAGAATAAAATGCACATAGTTTTGCCACCGTGAACAGGAGAAAAGACGCATGAAATTTTCTTAATTGGATATATAGTCAAATGTGCTTGCAGTTTCTTCTTCTATTTTTTCATAACGCTCGTTTTCTTACACCTACTACTGGCAATATCTGGCTTCACTTCTTCTGTCATGCCGATGGTCGTGTGAAAGAAATTTCTTCTTCTTCTCTACAAAATTAGCCACCGCAGCAATACGACTTACATTTGATGACGGCAAGAGAGGAAAGCTATTTTAAAATTCTTCGCACCGGGTACAACAATAATTTAGTAAAATCCGCACCAAGTCTGATCCGATCGAGCTGAATTCTTTTTCTACGAACATTGTATACAAACCAGGGGGATGGAGCATTTTAGATGCTTCTTTTTTTCTTCATGTAAAAAAGTAAATACTGGAAGCGCACTTCAAAACAGTTTCTTCCATCGTTCGGCGGTTTCTAAAATTTTTAAAAAGTCAGGAAAACAGACAAAAAATAAAACGAAAATAATGTCCCTCCGATTTGCATCTATCATCTCTTGCAAAGTAGAAAAGCAGGGTTCTGCTTGTATTTTTTTCGATGAAAAAGGATCAACTCTTTACACAACACTATCGCCTGTTATTCAAAATATTGTTTTTAGGACAATTCATTACGAGAACGAAGAAAAAAGAACAAAACAAACACTTGGATGAGACAAACATTTTCAGTGTTCGCATTTAATTTTCATCCTCCCCCTGTGCATTGCTCGATCTGTCTTGAAGTTCGGTGCAGCATCTTAAAAGAAAATCTCCTTTGCGCGGCCGCAAGTGATCAAACTTGCAAAACCTAGACGTAAAACTCGTTTTTGAGTTAAAAAAACCGGAACTTCAAGTTAAAAATCACTTCAAAAATTACTAACGCATATACCCTCCTATTTTGAAGTTTGATGATGGAGAGATGTTAGTTTTCTTCTGTTGAAACAATCTCTCTCTTTTTGAGCTTTACCCAATCAGTTGCTTTCTGTGACGACTATAGGGATTCGACTGAAGGACGATAGAAAGCGTATAGGGAGAGAGACAACAACGTAATTCAACGTTTGTTTTCGATTTTGTTTTTTGTTTTCAAGATAAACTTTTATGACGGAGAGATATTAGTTTTTTTGCTGATGTAATACCCATTTGAACTTTTGGAAATAATTAGAAATTAATGCGAACTAATTTAAAAAAGTCTCACACTAATAAGTACTTAATTACATTTTAAATGATAAAAATGACAAAATACGAGGAAAAAATCGAGATAATGTAAAGATTTACTTTGAGAATAGTAAGGGACGAAGACATTGAATTAGTCTTGCCACAGTAGAAGCATACAATGGTCAATGTTCACAAGAAGAACTAGCGGACTGGGTGAGTGTGCGATCTCTCTGCGGACACGACACGATAATATCGGCAATTTATTTATTTTTAGCATCCTGATTTTCGCTATATCACTTAAAATACTTCGGCTATTTACTTGGCTCTTCTCATTTTCCAGAGAAAATTGTCGAAACTTTCTACAAATGTTAGTTACAGGATGAAAAACAGGATGAAAATTTTGTATGGTCTCCAAGTCTTGCCGTTTAGGAGATTTCCAGAGATCAAGGTCCAAAAAAAGAACCCGAAGTATTTCCCAAACTTTTTTAACATACTTGAAGCTGGAGAGTCTGAGTTTATTTTATTTTAAACTAGGCGCTTAACTACATGCAGGCCCCAATTTTTCAATTAAGCCTTTGTTTGTTTGGTAGACAACTACTAACCTCAAGAACCTGAAAAACACTTCGTGATGTTCCAGAAATCCTTAATTTTACAAAAAGCTAACACCTATATCCAATTAAGAAAATTTCATGCGTAACCTTGGGAAATGCTTCAGGTGTAATTCTCATGTAAAGAAAACGGTGTATAAAACGCAAAATTTTAGGACTTGTAGGAAAATGCTTGTAACGTTTTGACGCAAGGACATATAGAGTTGTACAAGGTTTTATTTTGATCAGAAAAGTTTGCTCTACAAATCTGCTTGCTCAACGAAAACTTAATTGTATAATATGCAGGAAAAGCTACTATTTGAAGATCCGGTTTTTTGAGGCCCCTGGAAAACTTGCTGGAAAGCAAGGCACTCCAAAAACGTACATTCATGTCCAGGAGGTAAGAGTATTTATTTAGCGATATTTCCATGACTTACTTCCTTTTTCGTTCTTCACCTTTAAGGCTATACAGCTGAAAACAAAGTATATCTTTTTATTTTATTAGGTTATTCTATTTTCTTTTCTATTTGTTGTTAAGTTACTTCTGCTCAAATGAAAACATTTTTCTGATTTTGGCTACATCTTTATTCTTGCTTATTCTCCTTCCTTGTACTTCTTCTGTGAACTTTTACACAAGCCCTTTGGAGCAAGACTTTTCATGCCATCAAATAGAATTACCTAATGAAATGCCTATCTGTCACTATTAAAACGTCATTTCAGTTGAATCACATTTATTTCACGTGAACTTAATGACATACAACAACTTGAACTCCTGTTTCCTTTGTATTCTTTTAAATGTCATTAGGAAAAAGCAAAAAGGTAGTGTATGATATCTACAATTGTCAATTTAGTTACCAAAGTGTTCCCAATAAGCACATTCACCTGGACAAGCACATTTATCATGAATCCAAAAAACAATTAAATAGTCTGTGACTTCCCATGCTGCTGCATGCTGTTTATTTGGATCTCGTTCACACATGAATATGATTCCAACTCGAGCATTTCGTCCAAGCATATAATCCAGTTCCTCGTAAGATTCATCATCGTAAAACGTTTTTGTTATGTTTTGTGTAATAATTAATGTTGTTTCATTTGTAGTTAAGGTCTCTGTTAAAAATACAGAAACATGATTGCAATCACGAGATGAACTGCAATGAAAATGTGCTGTAGACTTACTTTTACAAACAGCTGCATTTAGACATGAATCACCTTCATTAAATGGGAAGCATCCATTCCATGAATATGCATATTGTTCTGGTTTAGAATAATCAGGTATGTCTAAGAAACGTGGTTTACCATTGCTATAGCCTAATGTTCGCATATCCAATGTACCATTTTTAGTTTGATAAACACATTCATGGTTATTATCACCAAGTAGAAATGTCTGACTAAGTGTTAGTACTTGTAGTATCGCAAATAGTATATACTGAACCATTCTCTTATAACGGGAAAAAACGTTAGAATGTTTTTATGTTTAGTTAATTTTACAACCGCTTTGTACTTACCAGAGACTCAAACAGAATTCTTTTTTGAAAGAAATCAAAAGATACCACGGTTTCGACCTTTCTCAAGGGGCTCGTCACGTGGTTTTTGTTTCCAGAAAGACAGAGTTAAGGCACGACAAGCAACACAACTCCATCACACCGTATGAGGGTGCTACTATTCCTTGTTCTTATCGAACAAAGAACGATAACTTTCACACAACGAGAACGAAGCACGATATCACTGTACAATGTACACGTCCTGCTTCTCTACATTAAGAATTTGTTTTTTAGTCTACCGGAAATGATCCATCCATTTAAATTTGAACTGTATCTAGCAACTATCACTCAACAACCGTTGAGATAAACGTGAAAGGCACCATACTTATGGGGATTCGATCTTGGGAAGTGGTCACCCATCTTCTTACTAATCGTAGTTTTGACACAATAGAGAAAGACATTTAGTAAGAAGATGGGTGACCACTTCCCAAGATCGATTGACTTCTTTCAGAAAAGAATTCTGTCTGAGTCTCTAGTAACTACAAAGCGGCTGTAAAATTAACTAAATAGATTCAAGTCGAATTTCACAATTATATATGATTTAATGTTTTTATTTTATCGTTTTAGAATGTGCATGCGTAGTCACTCTAATCTATTTTTGTTTTATCGTGAATGACATCACTTTGACTTAGAAGAACAAAAACAGAAAAATGACTTCACAATATCCGCCGAGGAGGACTGTAGATTTAAGTCATGAATATAGACTTAAGTGGTTAGATTCCTATCTCTCGGGAAGAAGCATAGTCACTATGCGTTCAGGACATATTTCTAGTGAAAAGACAATTGATTGTGAGCACTTCAATGGTCAGCTTCTGTTTTTAATTTATATAAATGACATATTCGACAATCTGGAAAATTTGTGCAAACTTTTTGCAGACGATACATATTCGTTTGGGAGAGGTGATGATATGCACGCATCATCTAATGCTTAAATCATGACTTAAACCGTTTAGCCATGTGGTCAAGAAAATGACTACTTGACTTCAATGTGGTTAAATGTAAGAATCTGCTTTTCATACGACCACGTCAAATAAAAACCTAAAGTTACCTCCTGAAGTTAAGACAACAAATTCTTTTTCAGATTTTAAAATAAAGTTGAATAATTTAAGTTTTAATAATCGTGATAAGAATCTATCTTCGTTCCATCGCACCAGGAACAGTTGAAGTAGCGTATAGTCGTTGCCGGGTCGAGTTTCTGCCGCTGAGAGAAACACTTGTGAAACGAAATCTATGCAATCAGGGAATCCAGAGAATTATGACTGTAGTGAAGATGCGACCCTTTCACATTACTTCCTACATTGTGGATATATCCCTTTAAAAATTCGCGCCTGGATCGCATAACGCGTTCGCTCTAACATTCGCCAAATAAGACGCGATTTTTTCACACTCATACAAAAATCGATGGCTTTCAAGTTACTGTTTATTCGCATTTTTCGTCTGGTATCAATAAATGGGCCACGGTAATTTCACGCGAATTATAATTTTTTTCAAAAATAAAGAGTTGGTGGTGATCGCGGCGGCTTCTTAGCGACCGCGAAGCGAGCACCGCGTTTGCGGCGTGAATGAAACAAGAAACTGGACTTTGGTTTTTCTAACTTGTCTCTCAATATAGTTGAGAATATATATATATGTTAGGCGTCAACAAAATTCAGTGATTCGATCTTCAGCGGCGACCACCCATCCACTGCCCATGTTATCGAAACCGGATGAACACCGACGGTTAACCGTGGTTATTTCGGCTGAAGTATAAAAAGAATGAGTATATATAATACCGAACAACAACAAAGTTACAACATATCACCTTCTAGAAAAAGAGAAACTCTTTCTTCAAGAATATCATTCTACCTTTTTCTAACGTCAGGCCATATTGACTTAATGTCACAAAAAAGAAAAATGACGACCAGTTTTTGCTCTATTTCTCACTTTAAATAGGTAATGTAATGTGTGTGATATAAACATTTTCAAAACTTTGTACGCAGGTTATCATCACTTTAAATAATGATGCTCATTGTTTTTCTACTTGTTGCTGGAGTGTCCGTTACATCCAGTCAAAAACCATGTTGTGGACCAGCACAATGGGAAAGCACCTTAAGTGTGTCAACGGGTATCGAAATACCCAGCAGACCACAAGGAATGTTCGTAAGTTTTCGTATGTAGAAAATCTTGTTTAGTACAGAATGCAATAGTTTTAGGCCTATTATAATTTTTCCAACGACTACGATACACAAATGGTTGCCCTACGTGGTGTGACTATCGACGGTGACCAGAAAAAGACAAATATTCGCATCATTGAAGATTATACCAAGAATATAATGTATTATATTGACTTGGATGGAAATGTATGCTCAAAACAATCGCTACCATTAAAATTAATGCATTGTGTACCAGGTAAAGGATAGAAGAAAATATCTAATATATAACCAATCTTACGGTTATATATTAAAAGCTAACGAAAGTATTGCTTGCTAAACTTTGACATCATTATTGTGGTTTACACTTAGATACTGCCACGTATATTCAGTCATTCATGTACGGTTATGGTGATAAACAAATTCCAGGTCATACATGGTTTTTCAAAGCCGACAATTATGTTATGTATATAACAGTTAGCGGTGATGGACACTGTGTACCACTATCAGAAACAGTATTCATAGGTGGACAAAGTACGTTAGTTTCTGTTAGTCATTATGTCTGTTTTGTTTATTCTGAATGTATTCTAGCACCAATGATCACTTCACTGACGATAACTGATTTTACAGAAGGCATCAAAGATCGAAGTGTGTTTGTTATACCGGACATATGTAACAAAATATAACAAAATAAAACTTTTCTGTCATTTCAAGTTTGATCTGTTTATTTGAATAATGATTTTGCGGATTTAAAGGGTTTGATATTAACGACTTATAAAGTGAAAGAGAAAGGTTTAGAGACACTTTGTTTGTTCTCTGTTGTTAAAGTATTTTTGCAGTATCACTTAGATAAAAGATGGCAGATTCTCCCAAATCTTATAAAATGACGTAAATTTCGTAAATTTCGTTACAAAAAAGCTCAAGCCTTGGAAACTTGAACTGGTACCTACTACACGCGCAGTCCTCATGACTGCCTTTCTGTAAATTTTCCCTCAACACAGTTGAGAATATATACGTAGAACGTCATCCAAACAATTTCGGTGATAAACGTTCTAACGTATTTAGAGAAAAGACAAATATATTTGTCAAAATTCTCTATGAATTATGCGAGTAAAATAGTAATAATAGAATAGCTCACAGTAAAACTACACTTATGCATAACATCTGCCAAATGCCGACTTTCCAATACCGGCTCTTTCCGAGAAAAATTTGGTTTTATCTATGCTTTTAAATGGCACTCCTTACTTTTTTGGGTAAGAGCACCTTAAAGCGTACCCCTTGTACGTGGTTATTTGTACTTCATATACTTTTTCATATTGGGACAGGTAGGGTACTGGACACACCATGAATTTTAAACTTCTCATGTCAGACCGGTA